AAAACTAAATTCATTTCATTATTGGGTGTTTTACTTTTAAAACACACTCACTTGTGTTGCTGTTTCTATGATTAATCATGAAGCTAACTGATGACACTTAAAAAAAAAATGTAACTAGTCAATTTGAGACTGATAGAAAATAAGATCAGCAAATTAAAGGTGTTCAAAATGTCCATGCCAGATATTTGAATGATCACAATACTGAAAGTAGATTTTCTTTGAGTAATGTTTATCTTAAACTCATTTATATGTTTGTTACAATCAATTAGCTGTGGTGGCCATCTTTAATCTGGTTGTGTCCTAAAGTTAATCTGTTGAAGATGTAAGTTCAATGGTTATCAAAGCTTTATTTATTTTTTTATCCATCCAGTGTTTCATGAGCTGTTTTGCTCAAAGAGAAACAAGTTTCTACTTTTCTCCTTCAAAGTCCATCCATCCATTATCTTTATCCGCTTATTCCATTTTGGGTCACGGGGGTCGCTGGTGCCCATGTCCAGCAATCACTGTGCGAGGGGCGGGGGACACCCTGGACCGGTCGCAAGTCCATCACAGGGTCACATAGAGACAAACAACCATTCACTCTCTCATTCACACTTAGGGACAATTTAGAGTTACCAATCAGCCTAACATGCATGTTTTTGGTCTGTGGGAGGAAACCGGAGTACCCGGAGAAAACCCACGCATGCACGGAGAGAACATGCAAACTCCACCCAGAAAGGCCCCTGGACCGTAGTTTGAACCAGGGACCTGCTCACTGAGAGGCAGCAGCTTTACCAGTTGCACCACCGTGCTGCCTCCTTCAAAGTCCATGCGCAATAATCCTGGTATAAAATCCAACAATGTTCAGTCAGGTCATCTGGAGGGTTTCTTTTTTGTGCTGAGACATTTCGTCCTCCATCTGGAAGGCTTTATCAGTCTGAGGCAGGGGTCTGCAACATGCGGCTCGGGAGCCACATGCAGCTCTTTTGGTCCTTCTGCAGCGGCTATTTCAAACTTTGACCAAAATTAACATAAACTAAATTGTATTGGCTGTTATAACAACAAGAAAATACTAGTTTTAGCACTTTTCCTCTCATTTCTTTTGCAAAAATGTAAATACTGGGACTAGTACAAGGAGTGAAACATACTCACTTTAACATTATGCTTTACTTCTATACTTAAATTTTTTTTTTTTTTTTTTTTTTCATTTAGCCTTTATTTATCCAGGTTAGTCTCGTTGAGCCACGAGAACTCATTTGCAAGAGAGACCTGTTTTTTAGGGAGCACATGGTGGGGGTTAAGGGCCTTGCTCATGGGCCCAGAGTGGGGCGAATGAGGGTGGGGGAAAGTGTGGGTGTTTCACCTACCCCACCCACAATTTTGATGTTGTCGGGGCCGGGGCGTGAACCGGCGATCTTCGGATCACAAGCCCACCTCTCTAACCTCTGCGCCACCACTCCCCAAAAAGTGATTTTTCCACAATTAAAAAAAACACATAGGTCTGCATAGTTCTGTTTTGTTTTTTACTACCAACCCCCCCCCCCCCCC